GTTCGCCAGGTCCCCCTTTCGCACATCATCTTCTTCTTTCCTTGCACTAGTATCTTTCTGCTGTTTTGTTCTTAACTCCAGTTGTTTCTGGCTTTCAAAAAGTCCCCTTCAGTTTGCTCTTCTCTGACTTTGCTCATTCTTCATATGTTCCCTGTGTAAATGCCCAATTCTGTAACATTAGCTAATATTTGATATCGGAAAACTTTCCCACAGCTGTATGAGTAGGTTTAAAACACATATTTACAAGAAAACTTGGAATGTGAGTTTTCCACTTTGACAATCTGTACTCTAGAATGAAATCCTCATCAGAAGTGGTTACCTTAAAAGCAGCAGTGGAAATAAACAGACTGAGCAGGAAGAGGAGGCTCACCAGTAGAATTAAGTGAGATAATATGTCCAGATCTCTGCAGTGGAGTGTTTTCTTGCAAATATTTTCCAAAATTCCCTTAAAAATGGCCTTTGAAAAATTAATTCCACTGCAGGTTCTTTTGTATCATTTTGAAGTTATCACTCATCATTTCTTTCTGAAGCAAAACTAGCAACAGATTTCCATGAGCAATTTCCCTCAGAAACCCATTTTCTTTTTCATACTATGAAGTTCAGAAGAAATACACCTAATTTCCCAAGCATTTGTGCTTCCCAAGTGCTTGCAGTGCACTTGACCCCATGGTTGTGGGAACAGGCAGATGCTCCTGCAAGACAGGAGAGCCCTGGTTTGGGTCAGTAGGGGACAGGGAAGTGGCCAGCTAAATGAGGATGAGGTCTGAAAGTTTCCTGTTCCTCCTCCCACAGCAAATGTTCATCCTTAAAACATGACCAAGAATAAGAACTGGGCAATGATTTTTGGTTAAAAGATAACCAGAAAGGGGGGAAGTGGAGGAAAAATGCAAATAAGAGACTGGTCTGGCTGGGAGAAAAGGACATTGTTAGGGTAACAATTTGTGAGGAGAATCTATGAAATTTGGGTCATAAATGCTCGTGACTCTTGAAAATGTGATTTAGGCACTTTAGTGCTTTTTAGGTGCAAGAAATTGATTTCTGGTTAAGAGGAAGGAACACAGAAATGTAGTGATTCTATGAAGTACTTGTATTAGAACTAAGGAAAGTTGGGACACTTTGCCAGTTGTAACTTACTGGAAAGCAGATCTCAGCCACACGCGCATCTTCTCCAGGGTCTGTAACCCTGGGAGGACATGAGAAGGGGATGAGGAAAGGTTTTGATGGCTTGTCTGTGTTATTTTCCCAGAAAGGAGCCTTATAAATGTTCTTGGATGTTGCCATGGGAGTTACAGCCAATTTAGGACTTGGGGTTATGGTTCATTCTGAGCTCTAAAGGCAGATGGCTCAACTTTGACAATAAGACAGGAAGAGGAGGGATGAGATGAAGCCATTCAGCAGAGAGGGAGAAATGAAACAGGGCCATGAGTTGCCAAACCTTTGATACTGCATGGAAGAGAAGTCCAGCGTGTGAAAGGGCAGAGCTTCCAACAGGTCTTGCAACACATGTGAAATCCATCAGGGTCACTGTTCCCATGGTGTTCTGTTGTCTGAGCCATAACACGACACCCTACGGGGAGGGAAAGGCATCCTGTAGGCAGGGGGAAGAGCTATCTATGCTTTTAAGAGGTTGGCTGGGAACTCAGAGAACGCTTTATGGTGGTTACACTCTGAATTTATAGTTTCCTCCTCTTGCTTTTTAATGTTCTCCTGCCAAATTACCTACGGTTTGCCACATAACTTCAAGCTGCCCTGTGGTCTGACATGTCCCAGCACCACCTGGGACACATGAAAGAATACAAAACAATTTGTCAAAGAAGAGAAGGGCTGCACTCAGAATGTAGATTCTTCTCTGGACATAAACCTTAATTGTCCAGACCCTTAGGTCAGGATGTAATAGATTTGCCCTCTTCTGATAGGGCAGTGGTGACGTTTAGATGCAGATCAGATCTGAGAAACTTGGGAAGGAGGCACGTGTGCAGTAGAAGAGGAGATCTAGTGTAAGTGTGAACACCCATGGTCGCATCATTTCACTCACAATAGACCTTTTTCAAGAGTAAGCAGAAACAGCACATCTGGAAGTGCCTGCTAAACGATGGTGCAGCATGTACGAAAGAGTCCCAGGACATGATCAATTCATTTCCCTCTGCTTTTCTGAGAGCAAAAAGCATTTCCTAGTATAGATGCTCATGTCCCTGTCAGTGTCTGTGCCATTGTCTGGCCTTCTAAGCGGACCCTCAAAATTGAGGCCATGTACTCCCAGTGGAGAAAGTCTTCTGGTAATAGAGGAGAAGAGCAAACAACATGACCTTTGTTTCAGAGAGTTAGTCAGTATCTATAACTGTTTGTCTATGTGTTCTGGGGTCTGCCTATGTCTTTATCTTCAACAAGTGTTTTTCTCGTCTCCCAAGCTGTGCCCCACTCTGTCCCTCTGCAGCTGACCCATCTCTCCTTCCATCCCTGTCTCTTCGTAGTGGGGAGCACAGGAGCCGAGGCTGCCATGTGTGGGTTTCCAGCCACATGTGTCCTCCCCAGGAGCAGAAATGCAACCCCAGCAGTGGGAATGAGCTGCTTTTTCTCTCAACTGCCCTCCCTGGTGCTGTGTTCCAGCAGCTCACCTCAGTGGCTCTAAAATAATTAGGAGGGAGGTTTGGAGTTTCGCACGCCCCAGCAGATACAGACAGGACAACTCGTCTGTTATTGCAGCCCCAGCACACAACACTGTGTAATGGCGTGGGGAATCCTGAACTTGGAAACCCCTCTTTGACCTTTGTCTGAGAGTAGGGTCATCCCTAATATCCGGGATGGATGCTGGTTGAGCTCACATACCAGTCTTTTTCAGCTGCAGAGCAGGGAACCCAAACATCCCGACGCAAGGCATCACCTGCTAACTCAAGCATTAAACATTAATCCCGGTTGGACTTCCACTCCTCCGTCTCTGAGGTGGAAGCAGATTAGGAATTTGATCTCTCAAGATTACTGCATGAAAGTCGCCCTTGGAAAGGCTCCCTGTAGCCCGTCCATCTCTTGTCCATCTCTTTGGGGTTTTGTTTTCCATTAGATGCTGCTGCCCTTTGGGATTTTGGGGGGTTTGTTTTTGAGGTTTTCTTCTTTCACCTCCTGGGGGATTGCAGAGGACCTGGAGGGTGCTCAAGTACCTGGATCCCAGGCTGAAAATCTGGGGGAACCCCAGTGGTTGTGAGACCTTCTTTGAAATCATGCTGCCTCCATTGTCGGGGTCCATGGCCAGAGCAGAGCCCGAGGGTTTTTGTGGGACTGTAAGGATGCAATGGCTGCAGGAGAGTTAAAACCCACTACTGTAAAGTAGTGGCTACTTTACCCTGTGGGCAGGGTGAAGGAATAACCTCTAGCATGGTATAAAAGGGCTCATCTGAGATGGGCATAGGGACAGATCTGGCAAAGAAGGCTGGAGGGTATCAAGGTGGTATGGAGAACAAAGTTTTCTCTCTGTAGCCATGGGGACCCAGGCTCTGGGTATTCACTCTCCCATTTACCTCTGGAAGGACCTATATATTTTCTCTGTTCTATCTGTCTGGGTATGGCTGTGCAGGTTGGGTCATCTGTCCCACGGGGACTCTCCCCTTGCTGACTTGATTCAGCAGCACCAGTCTCTCAGCTCACGACTTCCAGTCTTCTGGTACTTGCAGAAAGGCTTTGTAGACACACACTGGGTTTCTTTGCTTTTGTTTCAAAAGTCTGAAGACTTCACCCTCCTGACTAAAAAAGCTTTAAACTTTCTTGCCCACAAAAATACTTCCTTCAGTGTGCTGTCTCTAGGAGCTGAAACTCTCAGGAAACAAATAAAAGGCACCCGGTATGAGGCAGCTGGTGACAGAACCGTGTTCTAGCATTGTCATCCGTCAGAAGCCCTTCCCTGCCTGCCCTCTGTTTCATAGAATCATAGCATCAGCTGGGTTGAAAAGACCTTTTAAGATCATCAAGTCCAACCGTTACCCCAGCACTGCTAAGGCCACCACTAAACCATGTCACTGAGGGCCTTGTTTACACTGTTTCTGAATGCTTCCAGGGCCGGTGATTCCAGCACTGCCCTGGGCAGCCTGTTCCAATACCTGAGCACCCTTTTGGTGAGGAAATGTTTCCTAATATCCAGCCTAAACCTCCCCTGGCACAGGTTGAGGCCTTTACCTCTTGTCCTGTCACTGGTTACTAGGGAAAAAGAGACCAGCCACCTCCTGGCTCCATGCTCCCATCAGGCAGTTGTAGAGAGACATAAAGTCCCCCCTGAGCCTCCTCTTCTCCAGACTAATCCCCCCCAGGTCCCTCAGCTGTTCCCCATCACACTTGTGCTCCAGGCCCTGCACCAGCTCCATTGCCCTTCTCTGGCCCCGCTCCAGCACCTCAATGTCCCTCTTGCAGTGAGGGACCCAGAACTGAGCACAGGATTCGAGGTGCAGGGGGATTCTTACTCCATTAAATAGCCATTTCTCCACTGTTTTGGCAGTCACACATCAACACAGAACCGTTGCTTAAAATGACCAGTTCCCCAATGACAGACCTGCAAATGATTCGAAAGAAGAGAGTGCCATTCTAGAATTGTGGTTTTGAATATGACAGTGACTGAATTGCCACAAAAAAGACCAGACGCTCCTGAAGGCTGACTTTCACAAAACAACTCCCTTTAAAACCATCCCGACACTTTGTTCTCCCAGCACCTCCCTCAGTGCCGTTGTAAAAGCTCTGCTCTCAGTAGATGAGCTGCCACCAACTTCCCATCATGCTCATTTTAAAGATTCATTTAACCAGGCTTTAGGCTCAGAAATTTTTTAATTGGTTATTTAACAGATAAATGCAGCGGGTACTACAAGAACAGGTTTTCAGTATAGGCAAAGAAAGTGTCTATTCACGTCATGTGACAAATAAAATGAGCTCCTTTTAAGAAAACGTGAAATTAGATGCATTAAAAAACTTAGGCAACAGAAAGAAAAGACAGGATAAACAGGCTCTGCAAAAGGAACGGGGCATCTTCTTTTCACAGGTCACCCTCTCCTTGTTGCGTCCACACAGATAACGCAGAAGTCTGCCCCATTTCTGGCTGAGAGGTGGCTGGCTATCCTTGACGATCTGTCCATACTCCACCCCGTCGCACAGGGAACCAGTCAATGGATCGGCTGGCGCTAAGAGCTGGGTGGCAGCAGCCTCCCTCCTCTCCCACTCACGCTCCTCCCGCCAGTCCCTGGTGGGGAGCTGGAACCGGACTTGCTTGGGGGGCCTGTTCTTCTGCCCTTCCCTTCGCAGCATGGCCACTGAGGTCACTTGGAGATGGAGACGCTGCACCAGCTATGCCGCAGGACACGTGGAAGGTGTGGAGGTGCTCGTTCAGCTCCTGGGATAGGGAAACCACAGAGCTGCCTCTCTTGCCTCCTCACATGTCCACAGTTGCTCCTGGAGTGCGGGCAACCCTGGGGCTGTTGCCACACGGGACAGCAAACATTCCTGGGAAACCATGAAAACAGACAATGGGCTTCTATATGCAAATGAGCTCGGTGACGTCAACCACCAGCATGGCCTCAGGCCCTCATCACCAAGCCCCAGGGTGTCCAATGCTATCATGTTGTGCCAAAGCAGTTAGTTAGTTATGAATCCTCCAACGCCTCCAGTGCCCTGGTTTGGTCCTGCCACGCTGGAGAGAGTCAGTCCGTACCCAAAAAAACTCTTACGAAGTCAGGTCAGGTCCCCTGTGGGGTCTCCCCACCTTCTCCTGTTGCTCTATGGTCAGAGAAACCCATTGGTCCCATTCCTGGCTGTGCCTGGCTGGGAGGTGGCAGTGCTGACCGTGATGCTGTTTAATTCATGTTGCCATTCTCCACCGACAGCACCTCTCACAGGGATTGCAGAGTAGCCAGCGTGCCGCGGTTGGATTGAGCAGGCAGATTTAATTAAGTTGCGATTTAATTACCTATCAGCATCCCTATTTAATAAAGCTCAGGAGGATTTTAATTTTAAAAAATAATAATAATAATAATAAATGATACGGCCTGTCACAGAGCAGCAGTATCAGCACCCGGTGTAGGCAGGATAGCGTTGTGGCCAGCATCCCTGCCCTGTGGGAGCGAGGCTGCAGGAGGTGACCAGGCTCAGGCAGAGCCTTTGAGAGCAGCACAGATTGCAGGGAGGGGAGCATGACCCACCTTGGCAGCCGGTGCGAAGCTGCATGCTCAGGGCTTGCCTCCAAACGCTCCTGCTCCTGCCTCTGCTTGCTGGTTTCACCTCCTGCATGCAGGGACTGAAAGGGACTCACGAGCCCATGCCCACTGCCAGCCCTGTATTTTCCTGAATAGGGTTTGTCATTTTTGCTGTCTGCTGAAGCTTTCTACCTGTGATGGAAAGTTGGCTCTTGTGGTGGTTGGCATCTCTCCCATGGCCTTGTTAGATGGCAAAACCAGGGTGTGGATGCTAGTTGGGTGTGCTGGTGGAGTGTGGAATACCCTGAGAGAGGCCCAGTGAGTTCTTTTAACCTGAGGTTAAGTTTTGACTCGCTAAGCTGAAGTCAAAGTGCAGATCTCCAGCGGTTTGTGATGCTCAGGACCATCACGATTTCGAGTGGTTTGGAGAAGACACCTTGCTTTGGCTCCTCTCTGAGCAGTAACTTACTACGTCAGCTAGTGGCCATGCCCAGCATCTGTGAGAATTTCTATCAAAGAAGATACTGTTCCACTTTAGCACTTTAGCCACTATGTCTCTTCAAGCTCCTCCCAGTTTCTCTAACTTGTACACAGCATTCATCTCACTGTTTTGCTGATGGTATTTCCTAAGGGTTCAATTGTGCTTGAGGTTTTATTTCTTTTGGGCCAGACCCAGCCTTGTGGCAAGCAGACATGGTAGTTATCCCAGGGTGAATCTCACCAGCTTTCCCTGAACTCAGATGCTGGCCAGGGACCTTCTGGTCTTTGTTACTGGTGGGGATGGGCTTCTTGTTCTGCCATCTGTGTTCATCCTGTTTTCTGGTTTAGAGCTTTTCTTTAATGGACACTCACCTAGGACCTCTGTATCTTGCAGAGCCCCAACACATCTCCCCACTGATGACTAGATTCTGACACCAAGTTTAGAGCTTGAACTATGATAACCGTGAACACAATAAAAAGGAAGCAGTGTTTTTAAACAAGAAAAAATGAAGGAAGCCCAAACCTTTCATTAGTTATCAGCATCACAGCAGATGAGATCTAGCCTGAGCTCTAAAATACCTCCAAGGGGATCATATATCCATATGTGCTTCCCACCTGTGCCTGGGACATCACATATGGCTTCCTTAGCTCTTGCCCTGGCCACTGAAATACAACTAGATTTGGGCACTCATTTTAGACATCCTTCAGTTAGACATAGAGGGTCCCCTCCTTGTGTGTCCCCCCTAAAAAAGCCACTTTACAATGGAGAAAACAGCCGAGATAGAGAAAACCAGACCTTGATGTTTCTATTGTTTCGTGGTAACAGCGCCTGTCCTGAGACCCCAGGCCTGACAGATTGACATAACAGGTTAATAAGTGCTTTCCACTTCTCCTAAAGGCTAATTAAATATTAATCCACTTGGTGAGGTCAGCAAAAATAACAAACAATTGGCAGAGTGAAATTCATTTAATTAATTCTCCTGTGGAGGTTTTTCAAGCATCTTCCTCCCCTGACACAGCACTGCCTTGGCTGAGGTAACCTACAGTGAAATCAGACCTTATTGGTTCTGGGCCTGCTTTTCTCAGATACTTAATTTTGCTGCTTTTTTGTAGGGGCTTAGTTTCTGAATGCTTGTCAGGTATTGCCCAGGGCCCTAAGCACAGAGGTGGGAGGAGAAGAGAAAGAAGGGAATGGAGAAGTGGGGTATAAAGATGAAGAAGAGGTGAACAAAGTCTTTTTAGAAAGCTCCAACCTTCATCTGTTGTTCTGACTCTTTGCAAAATGAAATGCAAGTAGGCTTTTGATATTAATTTTATTGCTGGAATAGCAAGAAAGAAGTATTTCTTACTTCTAAACAAAAACTCTTTGCAGAGACTGTGTCCAATAGCAATCTGGGCTGCCAGTGGAAGTGTCTGTCCCACCATGATCTCGATCACCTACATGTGGGCTAGTGGCTTCTGTGACAAATAGGTGCAGTTTGCAAGTAATTTGCACCAACAAATCAAGAACGTGCAGGAACACGTGGGACCCCATAACGCATCCCCAGCACCCTGTACCCTCCAGTACCCCCAAGCCAAGCTGTCTGTCCCTTGCTTCCTTGATACCTCTCCAGGAGGGTAGGGGATCACCCCTATGTCTCTGACAGCTGTGAGCATCCATAGTTTCTATCCCTTTTCATTCCACCACATGATTGAGCATATTTCCTCCTCTCACTATTAGTTCCCTTAAGGATAACTGCAGCAGGATGCCTTGAACATCCTTTTTTGTTTCTGGCTTGATCTTTCATAACAAGTTCACGTCCACCGTAATGAAATTCATCTGGCTAACAATCCCTATTCTAACAGTCCTACAGCAAGACCCCATTTGCTTTGGTAATAGCTCCATTAAAGCACATCCCTGCATGGCAGGGGATGACTAGGGTTGCTTTGGAGACAGTCTTCTGTACCCACCATCCTTAACACGAGCATGTCACTGGCTTGCTCAGTGTTATGCTACTCACTTCCTAAGAATCTCCCCAGAAGTGCTGCCCATTGGTGCCCAGCTCCATTTCAAACATTTCTGGGTATGGCACCGAGCTACACCCTCGCAATGAACACTCCATTTGTGTTCATGCGCTCATCCATCCCCACCACAACTGATATAGACACAGCAGCTGGAAACAGGCAAGGAAGACTGGGAATTCCTCCTGTCTCTGCTAGAGGACAGACCCATTACAGAAATAATTTCTCAACTGACCCCTGTCTCCTCTGTTGCAGCCTTTGTGTTGCAGCGTGCCCGGCATGCTGAGTGGGAGCACAGTGCTTTCTTCCACTGAAGAAATCACACAGCAGGTGCCCCTTAGCCTTGGTAGGGGTGAACTGGGGTATAAGGAGGGGCAAGTCATCTCAGCCAGCTTTTAGGTAAGCCTTTGGGTGCTGTAATCTTGGGAATGAGAGAGAAAGAGGTGATGCAGAAGAGAGCGCATCCTCCCAAATGGACTTTTAGAAACAAATAACAGGAACTTCCCAAAGAAAGGTATTAAGAAAAGCAAAGTCTTTATACACAGCGGTTGCACTGGGTCTGTCTCCAACTATTTCTCCAAGCATCTGCATGTCTGGAGGAGAGTGTCCCCATGGACACTCCACAGCTGATTTCCCTTGTGCCATGAACTGCAATCCAAGCTTGCCTGTCAGCACTATAGGGGGAAGCGTCTTTGGCCATGAAGCCTTCCAGACATCATCCCAAATGCGGAGAGGACTGAGGGAGAGTGGGGAAACTCTCTCCAGGTTACTGCTTTAGATCCATGTTAATTTTTTATTTATCTGAAAGTGGCACTGGAAGGGTTTTCAAAGTGAATCTAAAGTAATTAGGCGCTTCTGCTGATGGATTGCACTGGAGAGACATGTGGATTATTTATTACAAAGTCACTTGCTGGAAAGGTTAGAGGCTGAGAAGTAATTATTTTTTTCCTTTTCTTCCTTTTTTTTTCTTTTTTTTTTTTAAGTGGAGGAATCAGCAGGGGACAGCAGCTGAAGTTCCTCTGTGAAATATTCCCTCCTGGCTATGTACCCCCTTTATCCCTTCTCCCACTGCAGCAAACAGGACAGGGACCCCAGGGAGGATGTGAAACAGGAGTTCGTGAAGTCTTGACTGCTGGAAGCGTGGTTTGGGTTGAGAACCCTGCCCAGCACCCACCTTTCTGCCCCAGGGATATTTAAGGGTTCCCCACTCTTTGATCTCATCATGTCAGACCTGCAGCCTGGGTCAGTTTTGAGGCTGCTTGGCTGACCCAACCAAAGGCTGTGAGGATGTCTGGTTCACATGGTGTGTCTGACATACATCTGGTGGGTGTTTTGAGCAATACCAGGAGGATTCAATGCTTCCAGCAACCTCAGCTGCCTCCTCCTCTCCTGCCTTGTAATCTATGTCTAGGATGGGAATTGAATCCAAAGAAATGCAATCGTCGACCTTGAAAAACAAAGCCAGGCTTGGCGCAGTCTACGGATGAATATGCAACAGCCCTAATCAGGAATCCTTTGTCAGAAAGGGGATAATTGTGTCTAACAATATGTTAGTGTAGAGCTGGATCTTCAGGCTTCTAACAGCTTATAAAATCAGGATCCCTTTTTTGGTGGGGAAAGCTGAGTGAACAAAGACATGCTCAAGCAATTAGCCACTGGAGAATTCAGGTCCTGCAGGACAGCGTTAGCCCTGTGTAAACTGCACAAAGCCTCACAACATTGAGAGCAGGAACCTGGGATGGTGTCAGGAATGGATGGTCTTGGGGGAGTGGTGTTGACACAGGGAAGTTGGGAGGATGGAGCATTAACATCTCTGCTTTGTTTATGTTCTTTAAATGGTGCCCATCACCACGGTACCTGGGCATGTATTATCTCATCTTTACAGGGAATGGCTATTTGAGGCCCTTTTCAAAAAAGAACCCAAAACCACTGAATAACCCTTGTCCCCTGGTTTTAGATGTAAAGGATATGAGCTGCTCAAGGCCAGCAAGGAGCAGGTATCAGTGCTGGGGCTGGTGCTGCAGACCCCCCAGCCCTGTGCTCCCATTCCTGACCACATTTCCAGCTGCCCCTGGCCATGCATCGGCACAGCCCTCGGAAAACCCTGCCTGTGGCATCACCATCTTGCACTGGTCATGGCTCCCAGCTAGGGAGACAGCCTGCTTTGGCCTCCGGGCCACCCAGGCAGAGCTCTCCTCTGACAGCAGCAACCCCCAGCTCATAGTATTTATAGATCCCGTCCATGTCCTCAGCTAGGAAGGCATCCATAATCTCTTACAGATGTTGGGGAGAACAAAGCCAGTCAGTGACTCGAAAGGGCTGCCCAACAGAGTAATGGATTGAGACCTATTTCTTAGTCACCTCTGACATTCCTCCCCCTGCACTCTTCCTTTTCCCCAGGAGGCTCAGTGGGGCCTGCCTGGTGCTCCCCAGTGTCCCAGAATCTTCCCCTGGGCAGGGACTCATCCCCTTTCCTAGCAGAGAGGGTATCAAGAAGCTGTCATCCAACCTCCCCAAAAGGGAGGGGATGTTCTGCTGGAAATCCCAAAAGCCACATGAATGAAGGGGGAAGAGCACAGGAAGAAGGTGCCCCTGCATGCTGCCAAAGCACATGGCTCTTACCTGGCTGCTCCAACAGGTACAATGACTCCAAGATGCTGTCTGCCAGCTCTCCTGGGGCTTTGGGGTTACAGAACACCCATGGCACACTGCATTATATGCACATCTCCTGGCTTTCCTGCATGTGAGGGTATTTTACCTTCCCCTAAATCCTTATGTTACCATCTCAAGTTTCCTTCTCCAGTTGTCAATGTCTCCTTCACAGGAGCAAAAGTCTTCTCTGTTCTCCCTAGCGTTCCTTCCCTTTTCACTCACCATCTCCGATTTCCCCTTCACCCCTGGGTCAAATCTCACACCCGAATTCTCACTTCTTTTCCTTTTGCTTTCTTTTCCCCTTTCCCTTCCTGGACTTTTTTGTGCCTTCCTCCAATTTCCCTCTTGCCCTGCCCCAAATCCTGCCCTGCCTTCTGCGGAGGGAAGCTTGATAACTTGGCATTGCCTGCATGGGGCCAACAGGCTGCCCTGGGGTCTGGCAGAGCATATCCTGTCCTCATTTTCAGGTCGAAGACCTGTTTGCCAGGAACCCAACTGCTTGCCTGGCAAAAACCAAGGTGCAGGATCTGATTAGGAATTTACTCGCCTGGATGCTGTCATCTCCTCCCCTGCCACTGCTAGGGACCTCAGTCCCTTCTTTGGGTTGTCCCACAGAGGGTTTCTGAGGAGCTTTAGGAGTTGTTAAGGAGCAATAAGTTCATGGACTCGCATCCCAAGCAGGTGAACTCAAAATAGCACTGGCAAGAGGGATAAGCAAGCTCAGTGGAAAATGAAGCACGTGGAGCTGCTGGACAGTGTTCTAGCAGCACTGATGGGAAGCAGGGGTATGTTGGCCAGAGAGGTCTGACTGGGAAGGCAGCACCGGCTCCCATCCCCTCTGCACTTAATTGCAGAAAGGTCTGCAGCCAAGCATCCTTTTAATGAGGGTCTGATTCCTGATGCTTATTCCGTGAATCACTGCTAGAAATAACTTCGAGGTCATATATCCTGCTTGACTACCAGCTGAGCTGGGTGTAGTGTTTAGGGGCTCAGCTATTTCACGTGTTTCGGAGTGATCTGGGAGCACGCTGAGAGCTCCCTGGCCTACAGTCCTGTCCAGCTGCACCACGCTTCAGCTGCATTTCACTTGCTTTTTTGTTGGATCTTCCGTGTCACTATATGCTTCCCCAAAAATGCACTACAGGAAGCTAAACAGCCAGTAGAAGGAAGCTGGTTCCCCCTCTTGCTTTGCTCAAGTCTCAAATCTTTTGCCTCAAAAGCCAGGCACATCAGTGCCTTCCTCCTCTCTGCAGCGTGGCCTCTTGGATGGCTGGGCAGGAATTTGCACATGGAATTTCCTATGAGGCTGAAGTTGCTGTTAGCTTGACTTGTGGGGAAAAGGAGTCGTTTGGAGACTCCTTCAAGGCTTGGGGTCCTTACGAGTGCTAACCCCCTCTATGGGGAGGAGGCAGGATGGACAGATAAATGGATGGGCAGGCAGTGTGTTGGCAGCACTTGGCAGGACGGTGCCTTTGCACTGAGCTGGACCAAGGCCCTTTTAATGAGTTATTCCAGTCAGGGCAGCCCACCAAGACAATATTAACGTTGATGCTCAGACTAATGGCAAAACCGGCTTCCAAACCCATGGTGGTC